TTATGGTCGTGAAAATACGGTACTTGTTTTATTTTGTTTTTATATTTTTTCCTTTTGATTCTTTTAAATGTTTTTTCTGTGTGGTTAAGTTTATATTGTTTTTTGTCTTATAAAAAAACGTTATGGATTGCATCTTTTCAATTGTACTTTTCTGCTGTTTTGAAATAGTATTTTGAATTTGTTTAAATAAAAGTAAAAAAAAAAATATATAAGTGTGAATCAGACATGAAACGGAGGTGCGTTTATTTTCAGAGGAGCTCAAGGAGGGTGCTGTAATGCCTTGTGCAGTCTCGAATGTCAAAATCAAGAGCTAGCTGCCTTGACCATAAATTCCGAAGAGGCAGATAGCTTTACCACAGTATTAAAAACTGCATCTGGTAATTACCTGAACCGACCCGGGCTGCGGAATATTCATTGTTTCCAGATTGGACATGGGTCGAAATTAACACTTTCAGCTCCTCTATGCCGGTTTTAAGTGCGTTGTGTGTGTCGGCAGAAAGTAGATCAGAAATTCTTTGCAAATTTCTCAAGCATTCTTTAAGAACCCACATATCCAATAATGAAAAGCTCTTTCAGTATTGTGGCATTTTCTCACAATTTTGTCCAAAACTGCCAGCGCCATTGAATCTTCAGGCAATTGTTTGAACAGCTTAGTACAGCCAATAAGAGGCTTACACGCAATCTCTTACTTCAGATATCTAAAACTGTAATACTGACTAGTCATAATTACGTTCGAGATATCTTAAATTAGAATTACCGATGAGTGATGCTTTAAATGACGAATCCGGTGTCGTAATTTGAGATATCTTGAAAGAAATTTTGACTAGTCAAAATGTAATTTAAGATATCTCGAATTATCATTCTTCCTAATCAGAATATAAAATCGGATATCTTAAATTACTATACCGGATAGTCAAAATGTGGTTTTGTCTAGTCAAAATGTATTTTAAGATGTATGGAATGTAATTATGGATAGTCAGACAAAACCGCATTTATGTTAAAACGGCTTGCCATAGTAACGCAGCATAAATCTGGTTCAATTAGAACAGAAGCATACTCGTGACGTCACCACAAGCTCGGCTCTTCTAGAGCTGCATTTCACCTCCCGTTATTAATAGTCTGTAGATAATGATAAATTATTTCTTTTTTCAGTCAGTGAGGGAATAATGATGAACACAGTCAGATAAACACAAATCAAATGAAAATTTGGCCAAATAAAACAAAACATTTGCCATCAGAGCCAGCGGTCCTTCACACTCGGCTATGCCTGGCTGCTGTTACCCTCGGAGCTCCGCTGGATGCCACGGTCTTCTCAACATCATAATTATTTTTTAAACTACGCAACAGCAACAGAAAAGAGAACTTTTAACTTAATACTGTGAGCTCTGTAAGCGCTCAATTAAAAGCTGCTGCTGCCACAGTGCATGCTGGGACAGCTGTCAATCTCAAGAACGGACAAGTCTGCTCTGATGTGTACTCGGTAAATAGGGAGGGGCAAGAACAACATCCAGGGACTTTTTCTGTTCTTGTTCTTGTTTTCTTGTGAATTGGAACAGTACTAGGGCTGAGGGTGATGACGTTTCACGAGTACACGAGCATATGAGATTGCACAAGTACACATATTGAGAAACGGCCTTAGACTGACTGGATGTGAAACGTCTGTGAATAGAAACGTTCCAAATGTTCCTGCTGTGGAGTCTTAATAGGATTCAGGTCAGGCCTTCAACTGGGCCACTTAATTAGAGGGTGAGTCTTGAGGATCAGGATTGTTATGGTTCTCCTGCTGGAAGGGGGAACCTTTTCTCTTGTCTCAAATGTTTGGTTTTTTTTGTGTTTTTTAGCACCATTTTTCTTCCCATTAACCATGACCCCACAGTAGATAAGCACTTTCCTCCACACTGTAACGCTACTGCCACCATGTTTACCAGGTGGATGGTGTGTTCAGAGTCAAGTTTCAGAGGCAATGTTTTCCTCCACGTACAGTTTGTTCTGTCCACGTTTGTTTTCTGATGCCTATTCAAGATTTTGGCAAACTGCTAACATTACTTTTTATTTACATTCACTTCTTCTCCTCTCTTAAAAAAGCCATAATTTTGCAGTGCAGTACAGCCAATAGTGGTCTTTTCAATAGATTATTGTGTGTAAGTTCACATTTTAGTATTAAAAATTTTTTTATTGCTCTGATGTAATGATATAATCTTTAATCCTGTATTTCTACCAGATGCAAATCCTCTTAAATAACAAAAACGTGTGAAATGACTATATTTTTAGGTCCCTGAGAACTGAGTTATTGAAATAAATAAAGTTACAACTAAATCATCTAATTTAAGGACTATGAGGGTATATATATTTTTTTTTAAGTACTATAACTGCATCATTTACAACATAATATGTTGATTCTCTTTCCTGTTACTTAATTCCGGTTACTGACCTTGCTGGTGAAGGGAGGGCTGTCATTTTCTTTAGACTGATCTTCATCTTCCTCTGCTCCAGCTGGGCTTTCTGCAAAAAAAATAAAAAATACACACAGCAGCCTTTAAAGTCATGTTGCTTCTTTACCATATGTCTGGCTCTTTTGAGTGTTTATTGAAGAGTTGTACCATCGGCCTCCTCCTCCCGCTGGGCCTCTCTCGCAAGTCTCTGTCGTAGGAGCTCTTGCTGCTGGGCCAGGTACTGTTTAATGAAACTGTTCTGACACATCTCTTCTCCTATCTAAAAATTAAAACAAAAAACAGAGCAACACAAAAACAAACTTTAAACTGCAGGAACTGTAGTTGAAATGTTTTCAGAGAAACTTGGCTTAAAGAAAGAGGTCCAACCTATGAATTAGGCTGCAGCCCACTGTGAGAAGATGATGACCTCTGTAGGTTTTCCAGCATCAAAGCCTATCGGGAATTAAAAAAAAAAAGAAAAAAAATCCTTTACTTAGTCCCACAATGGAGAAATTCATTCTCTGCATTTTGAAACATCCCCTTGGGGAGCAGTGGGCTGCCATTGTAAAGGGGCCCCCTGGGATCATTCAGGGTTTAAGGATCTTGCTCAGGAACCCAGAGTGGAGGATGTGGGAATCAGACCAGGTACTTGCAGCCTTCTCAGAACACAAACGCATTGCTCTAACCCACTAGGCCAACACTCCCCAATCAATACAGATATTGAAAACAGACTCTGTTTATAATCATCAAAGCAACAGAGAAAGGGTTTCAAGAAACTGATATTAGCTGCAAATACTGAACATTAAATCCTTCTTTCTAAAATCTGACTTATGAGCTTCTAATTTTACAGAAACTATGTTCTTTGAAGGGAGTTCTAT